TGAGGTTACTGAATGTTCACTTTGACCATAAATGAATCTTTTATAAATTGAATTTTGCCCTAAATATATACAGAAAGTATTTTCTCTTATTCTGTTGATCATGGGTGTAATCACAATATACTCACAATGATCGTCGTAATCATATAAGGTAGCACTGTAAATGCATTCTTGAATCAAAGTATTTTGATATTCTATTACACTATAAGTGCAGAAAGCCTTACAAAAAATTACAATTCTGAGTGAACCCAGTAAACCGGAAGTAATTTCCAGATAAATCATTCAGCAGCATCTTAACTAGCTGGGTAAATCTGTTATTGTGGTGTCACTGCTCAAATAGCTAGAATATTTCATTCTGCCTTAAAAATAATTTGGACTGATCATTTGCCTGTTACATCCGGGAAATAGTTGGTCAAAGGAAATAGTTTTATGACTGGTTAATAAGCCAAAAAAAAACACTTTTATTCAATGTTTCATGCCCATATTTAATAGGAGTTGACAATTAACATATTGAAATTGGTGTTGTACGACCTAAAGATATTGAGTAAATTGATTCAAACTGATCACCTTTAAATACAACTCTAAATGTGCCAATATTCGACAAATAACTGAATTCCGTACATGACCGAATTTCCTCCAAACGTTTTTTGTCCTATATTGATTAAGGGTCAGAAATGACTGTTAAACCATTAAGAAATTAAGTACCAAACTTAAAAATCTTTCGTAAATTTCAAAAAAATCTGTTGGATGAGACTATAATGGACTAGACAAGCTACTAAGATAGAAATCTGTCCCTTTCTGGATGGCTGATGTAAAAGTAAGATATCCTGTTCAGCATTCTCGATCTCTGTGGATAACTGATGAGCTGATATTTTCAACCTGATTTGCAAACTTTGTGGCATACAAGGTAATCGTCAAACTCATTAAGTTTGTGTAACCTTATTAGTTAGCTGGTATTCAGCCATAATCTTTGAGGCAATTACATGCGTTAAATAGTTCAACTATCATAAGAAAGAACTAATCTTCCCTTTATCCATGAAGGATTTATTAAATTTGGAAAGAATTCGATCATGTACAGAATTTAGTTATTTGTCAAACATTGGCACATTGAAAATTATATTCAACACTGTGGTCAAATTTGAATCGATTTCATCAATAGCTTTAGGTTGTATAACACTAATTTCAATGACGGCTAGCTGATATGCTTATAAACAGGTGTCTTTAATTTTAGTTGAAATGATTTCTTATTCAGCGTTTTTAGAAATAAAAATGCATACCATGTCCATAACTAGATGAGAAAATAACTTTGGAAGTATGCCATTTTAGATAATTAATAAACAATAAATACTTCTATGCAGTTGAGGATTCAATTAAATTATTCCCATTGAAAGCTTGTGTAATGTGAAACAACTGTAAACAAACTGATCTGTTGGAAATAATGCTGTCATGTTCCACTTAAATAGGAACAAGGTGATTCATAGTGCATTACATTTTTGATTGGATGGGGGATTTCATCATGAGCTGACATCAGTTAGAGAACCATTGGAAAACTGGGAGTACTGGCAAGTTGTTCCGTCCTAGTTTAGGACTCTTCATCGGTACACACACCTCACAGGGGTTCGAACCCAGGACCTTCTGGTTACAAGGCGAGGTTGTAAACCATTCAGACATTGGGACCTGATCCAGTGGCCTATGAATTCTAACTTCTGCCAATTGATGACATAGCATGACCACTTCGCAATGTCTTTTCGATGAGTTACTGCCTTATCTTCAACCTGCTGTACCCTCCTGGTCACAGCTTCTCACTGGAACCTCAGGTAACTGGCCTGAATAGAGCCAGTCGCTATTGAGCATCAGATTAATTTTCAAGTATTGGTTTTGTTAGGATTTAGTTTGACTGGATGGAGGATTTCATCATGAGCTGACAACAGTTAGAGAACCACTGGAAAATCTGGAAGTACTGGATAGCTGTTACATTTTTCGTCATGAATTACTCTGTTTTTTTATTTTGATATTATGACTGTACTCCCTTGACATTATTTCACACATTTGTACTTATTTTTCCCTAAGCTGACAGTTTGCTATGGCATTAAATGTAGTTCTGTAGTGAAACAGTTGTGGTTCTACTGTTAAATAACGAATGTGGAGAAAGATACTTTAAGGTAACCACTTTATTAATTTTCACTGTAAGATTTTGCTCAATAATACAGAATTTTTATCCTGGAGTCAAAATTCTCAATAACTGACTATTTAGTTGTATGTTAGCTTCAAATCTTATAGAATTCGCATATATGAGTATAATAACATTTCATCGAATATACAAATTTTCATTTAAAGGAAATGGTTTTCACTTCTTCATAATTTTTATCACCCACTACGTGAGTCTTTAGACTGAGAAAATCAAATTACCAAATGTACTATGCTTTTAAAGTCGATTCCTTTCATAGAATTCATTATAACACCATTATGTTTTGCTGCAAAAACTCAGTCATAACAGTTACATAATATATATTACTCCTATGGGTTCTGAGTGGAACATAGGGCTTCAGCAGTACATCCCCTTTTCATCTTGCGCTCTGCATTCCTCTCTAACCGGCCTCATGATTTCCCATAAGCTCTTATCCCCTCCTCACACGATCTCTTCCATGTTACCTTCGACCACAAGCTCAACTTGCTGTCCCCCATTGAGATTCCACTCGAAGGTTTGTCTGGCGCCTTAGCGTATGTCCGAACTATCCCATTTCCCTCGAAACATTTGTTGGGCAATAGGTTGTTGTTTGGTTCATTCCCGGAGTTCCCTGTCACTTATCCTTTCCGACTTATCATCTGATATTCAATATCAGGACAACGAAAGCAGATGTTGATAAAAGTCTGATGCAGGCTGTTGAAAATTCTTTGGGTGAGGCTTGTAACATATCTCTGAACCATATAGGAACACTGAGTTGACATCAGTGTTGAAAATTTGAGTCTTGTTCCCTTTGCTGCTTGCAGTAGATTTTTACACTGAATTTAGAGTAAAGAAGGTCTATATCGCCTTTACGATCCTGCCTGGCTTTGGTGTCTTCATCCGTGCTGTTTGTAGCTGAAACTATGTAGAAAAAGTTAAATACGTGAAAAAAGTGACCTCATCTGAGCTTATTCCACTGGTAGTGGTCGGTGCTTAATGTTGCTGTTTTGTTTATCTTCATCAACTCTGTCTTCTATATGTTCACTTGAAGCCTAGTCTATGCTGCTTCTTCCACCAACTTGTTGGTTTTCGTTTGTGTTCATGTGACATCAAACTTAAATCATCCGCAAAGTTCAGATCTTCTACGGTTTTCTCATTGGTCCAACGTATCTTTGTCGTCTCGTTCCTCATGGTCTATTGCATGATCCATTCTGCTACAACCAGGAATACAATTAGTGATAGTAGACGGTCTTGTCTTACTTCTATCTTCACTTCCAAGGATTCGCTGAGTTTTCTCATATGGATCACTTAACTTGTGACATTACCAAATAGCTTCATATATATATAAGTCATGTATTGATCAAATCGCCACACTACGGATCATCATTGAAGAAAGCTGGGAATGGCAGTCACCTCTCCACCTCACTCAACTTCATCGACTTTGAAAAGGCCTTCTATGGTGCAGCGTCGATTGAGAGGTGATTTGGCAACTAATTCGCTACTACGGGGTCCCATCGACAGTTATACATCTCATCCAACAGTTATACGACAGTGCTGCATGCCAAGTAATCCACAACGGGAAACTTACGGAAGCCTTTGAAATGAGGATAGGATTGAGGCAAGGCTGTCTACTATCGTCGATGATCTTCCTGATTGCAGTAGATTGGATAATGAGACAGACAACGGGCAATGAGGAAACAGGCATAAAATGGACTCACACAAAAAGAGACTTGGAGGATCTAGACCTCGCCGATGATATATGTTTGATTTCCCACAAACCGGAAGATATGCAAATGAAAAGCAACAAGTTGGCGGAAGAAGCATCAAAGATAGGACTTCAGGTGAACATAGATAAAACAGAAGTGATGAAGATTCCTGGCCAACACCAACAGCAACAACAACAGACAACAATCAGCCAGCATAAATGGGAGGAACCTGAAAGAAACAACCTTCTTCAACCTACCTACCTACCTGGGAAGCATCGTTTCAACTACAGGCGGAACTGAAGAGGATATCAAAGCAAGGATCGGAAAAGTAAGACAAGCTTTCACCGGTCTCAAGTCTGTGTGGAGGTCAGGAGCACTCAGCATCAAAAATAAGATCCAGATTTTCAACTCTAATGTGAATCCAGTCAGTGCTACTATACGGATCAGAGACCTGGCCTGTCATAAAGAGCGTCTCAAACAAACTACAGACCTTCATTCACAGTTGTCTTTGTTCAAGATCAGATGGCCAGAAAGGATCAGCAACAGGGATCTCTGGGAGCGAACCAACCAGGAACCGATTGTGAAACAAATATGCAGGAAGAAATGGAGATGGATCGGCCATACTCTTAGGAAACCAGCAAGTGGCATTACTAGAAAAGCTCTCGAGTGGAACCCAAAAAGGGAAGCGGCGAGTTGGTCGTCATTGTGAGGGTGACTTGGAGGAGGTCATGTGAAGAAGAGATGAAAGCATGCGGGCAGACTTGGAGCCAGGTGAAAACTCTAGCAGAGAACTGAACGCAGTGTAGACGTGTGGCTGAAGTCCTATGTTCCTCTAGGAATTAAAGGAAATAATATATATATATATATATATATATTAGAGACTGTTTAACAGAGAGAAAATGTTTCAAAATTTCAATATTCTAGAAGTTAAAATGAAATTAAAAACCTAAGTTTCTTTCCAACAAACATTTCTACTCAAAATATGTTATTCAAATGAATATATAACACGAAATGGAGTATATTCATGGATTTACGCAAAATTTTCAAAAATACTAATAGGAATAATAAAGTAAACTATTTATCTGAGTAATCAAATCAATTCACATGATGCTTAATGGACTGTGACTTACATTTGTTTGTAAGCTGATCACTTCACATGGTGTGATCGATTCTTTAGTTGTATTTACATGAAGATCACTTGCCTCTGTTGATGGTGTATCTTGATTTCTTGAGTCAGGCGTCTGTAATGTGTGTGTACCGATAGACTGTGGGACAGTCATAGGACTTCTGTCATTTTGTGGTGGATATTGTGCTGGATATTGTGGTGACCCTAAAAGTGTGGGCTCATTAGACATATACAAGGAACCTGAATTTAGTGTATTCATCATATATGGAGATCGAATCCAAGTTGGTTGGACCGGAGCATGAGATACACAATGGATATTAGAAATAGCCTGATTTGGGGGCTCATAAGGATACATACAATGAAATTGATTTTGGAAAGAAGGAGAAGCATAAAAGTAGGGTTGATTTGTTTTCTCTGGTATATTTTGTCGTCTTCGTACACTTCGTCCAGAACGACAAGACTGTCTTACTTTATTTCGAGTCAGTTTTCCTCTTATCTCCTTTTTGTCCATCAAAAAAGCACAGCATTGACAATGCTGATGATTGAGATAACCTTCATGTAAGGTTTGATATGGATTACTGACATCACTGTCGCCACTTTCTTCTGAACTGCTCAAACAATCAGATGAAGCATGTTTCACAACCTGTTTCCTGTAATATCTTGCATTTATGTCAGAATCTGAGTAACCATCAACACAATGCGCACTACAGTGCTTTGAATGACACTTTTTACGAGAATATGTTTTGTGTGATCTAGAAAAACTATTAGTATGGTGATGATGGTGGCCTTTGTAGTATTGATTCGTGTTTTGGTTCAGCCTTTCAAAATCATTGTAAGTTCCAAATGCTTGCACCGTAGGCACTGGATAATTTTTATGATGAAATGATGAGTAAGCAGGGAACATTTCACTATGCGATAGTGATCTTCTATGTTGTCTGTGTGGTGCATCCTCGACAAATTCAGGACTTTTAACCCACATTATATTTTCTGTGTTAGGATAACCATTAGGATAGACAGAATTTGGTGAATTGATGCAATCAGTGTTTCGAATATTTGTAACTTGTGCGTTCAGTTTAGTACACTGAGGTGTATTTGGTGGCCAATAATCAGATATTGAACAACTAGGCATCACTTCTGAAGTACGATGTTCAATACTTTCTGTTTCAGCTACCTGCAAAGCAAAATAGTGGAATTAAAGGAAGTTGAGTTTCTGAGTAAACTTTATACGATATATATCACTGTATATCCTACTATTCTGGAGTAATATTCGATAGAAAGTTCAAGTATATATAACCTTAATGAAAATGAACTAATGTGAACTGTGTCACTTTAATCACGCCTAAAAAATCTATGACGCTTAAGCTACATAAATAACTGCGGTCTCTGGATATTTCGGAATCTGAATTACTATGAAGAAACGTCCATTTAAAGTGCAATATTTAAATTGTTCTTTAAATTTTGTTCGTGAAGTCCTTGAAGATTTTCAGTACACGAAATAATTCGATTCCTCTCAAATTCGCCTAGTCAGTATCTATCAAATCCCTGAAACTCAATACATATATTCACAAAGAAGCAGTCATTGGTCTTTCTTCTTCCTGGTAACTGGATGTCTTTGCTCTCTCTTTTATTTGACTACGTAATCTGACTTAAACCTCTTACCTTCTCTATAATGTAATTTTGCTTGTCTATGATTTGAGTTGAACTTATTACATTGTTACCCAACTTATTAGTTACTCATCATCCTACCTACTTCTTGTCTTCGCCATGATATTCAGGTCTTTGTTTTATGTTTAAAATTGAACTTTTGTGTATAAGGTAGGTAAGGGTAATTTCTCAGCAATGTCTATTAATTTTTCAGTTTCCTGTCAGCTGAAATTATGGATGTTAAAATTGTTCTATGTGCGTTAGTGGCACAGCGGCAGAATGCTCTCGCCAACCACACATGTGGTCCGGGGTTCGATCCACAGCCGACGCACTCCCTTACCTCACTTAGCCAGTAATAAAATTGCCAAAGAGGGAAGGTTGAGCATTAGGCTAGCAACCCCATCCCGTAAAACTAAACACCACTGCTACCGAAACTTCAAGCCTCTAGCTTGAAGTGCTGTGTTGCACTAGGAGAGTAAAAGAATAAAAAAATCGTTCTACACATAAACTGTTAGGAAGAGGCAAAACACATGCAATTATCAGGTCATTATCATGTCTCAGTCAAGTTATTATCGCGTTATTAACAAGTCGTTGACATGGAATTATCCTGCTTTCTGATTGGACACTTGCACAATTCCAACTCTCAACCGGATTCGTTGATTTTCAGTCTATCTTATTTCTTGTATAAATACAGTCAGTTTTGTCATAATAAATGAACCTGGTTTTACCGCTGATTCTCGGGTGTTCTGCTTTACCAGTTAAGTGGGCACTGGTCAGTAGTTAAGCAGTGACCTCGTGACAAAAGATCTAGCATCATAACATAAACTTAATAATTTCTTTAGGCTGTATGCAGATGATGAGTAGCTGACGAAATAAATGACGGCAACATCTTAATCTGCACGAAACACTGTTTTTGCTTTCTTCAAATTTATGAAGAAAAAATAAGTTGGCAAAGAAAAATCTGCATATCTATTGGATACTCTCCTGAATATCCCTCTCTTAATGTGGTATTTGTCAACTAGCAATCAAGGCTTGTCTTCTGGTCATTTAAAATGAAGACAAACTTTTTATTAACTCGATAAGAAGTATAACAGACGACTTTCTCAAGGATAAAGTGTTATTAGTTCATAGAATTTAAACTCGGAACATTCAAGTGATAGTTACAGACTGCATGCATACTCCATAATCATTATAGGTTTCCAGACCGAAACGTTCAGAAAAATCTTGATTTGATTTTCTTAACACGCTGGGATTAATTTAAATAATTTATAATACGCCATAATCGTTTTAGGAAATGTTCCTGGGAGTAATTATTCATCACCTGAAGAAGACGGTAACATTAATAAGTGATAATAAGCAGATTATGCTGGGAGTACTGGAAAACTATTTCGTCCTGGTTTAGGACTCCTCATTAGTTCGCACCCAGGTTCTCCAATGGTTCTCTAACTGATGTCAACTCGTGACCTAACCTGTAACTAATCAAATGCCCGCAAATCAATACTTGATAACTTTTTATTTGATGGTATTAGATAGTTGGAGGCAGTCGGCCACAGGAAGCCTTGGATCTAGGTTTCGTGCTAGTTGGCACTCGTCAGCAAGGCGTATCTGCAATCTTGAAGGAACTCATGTCCCTTCTGAGATTCGAACCCGCGTCACCCAGTGCTGCAGTCAGAGACGTTACCACTGAGCTATTCCAAGGCTTCCTGCTGACCGCCTCCAACCATCTAATACCATCAAATCAATGTGCACCGTGGTGGTGAGCTAGCTGGAATGGTGGTCACATTACAACCTGACTGATAGAATTCAGTCTACACCAATCAGAGGACTAGACGCATCACACTAGTTACTAGCGTCAAATCCAAATAACCTTTTTATTTATCAATATTAAGTTTGTGATAATCTTAAAATAAAATCTAGACTGATAATTTCCCCTAATTTAAGAAATCTCAAGCTATTAAACAATAATGCTTGCATAACTTAATCGATGTACTAGTTGTGACCCCGCTTTGAATGGTTAAAATTTGAAATAATTGAGTTAGAAACTATTTCCAACGATTCCAGTTCAACAGTCAATAAACTCATAACACACTCGAAATATTATAACACGTTTAAAACCTGAAAGATTCTCTACTCTCTTACATTACTGCACGTAATTGCTATTATTTATTATCCTCTCACTAGATGAAAATTGTCTCATAATAACCCTACAATGTAGATTTTGTCAAAAACCAATAATGATTACAAAATCATTGAAAACAAGGGAGCATTCGACAGTTGTTTAGTCCTAAAATGGGTTTCTTCATCAGTAAACATCCATAGCCCTATGAGAAATTGACGTTCAGGTTATAACGTAAGGTCGTCCGTCATTTAGTCACTTGGGCCAGAGTTCGCTGACCTGTAAACTCCTACTCTATCAACCCTGATATAGTGTCAGTGCAAACAAATGCTATCGATGAGCATCCACCTCAACTTGACATGGTGTACCCCACTAGCCACAACTTGTGAACATCCATCCCATACCCGCCAATGAGCTGGAGAGTGATGTTTATAGGGATTTATACTAGTGTCAATGTAGATTTCATCCAATCTCTGGATAGGTCGTTGATACCAACTGCTGAAAAATCCTGAATTCGATTGAAACGACTGTCGACTTCTCCTTGGTTTTCAATGACTCTCCTACTGGTGTTAGTTCGTCACAAAATCTACTTGGAAATTAATCCAAATCTCTGCAAAACTTACAATCTAAATAAACGTAGATTTCAACATCAGTGTTTGCATACTACTAAATCACGGTTTTCAGAGACATTTTACTTAGTATTTAACTGGTGGATGGTGGGTGCTCAAAAAGCCGACATGTCAACCTGAGACCGAGCGCTTAGGTCCAATCAATCGACAAGAAAATCTAAAACTCAATTAAATTAAAACATTTTACTTATTTCGATTGGAAGAGAGATCATCAGATTTCCATGGAATGCAAGTTATAAACTGAATGATACATTGAACAGAATGCTTACATGATTTTCAGTAGATGGGATATTGGTAAATACTTCAGGGGATTCACTCCCTTCAGATGGTCTAAATAACGCTTCCAATGGATTCCATCTAAAACAGTATAAAAATGTTACCATTTCATTCTAATAAAAACTATAAATTCATAACTTCAAAATGAAAAGGATAACACTCAAGTATTACTCAAGCGAAATGTATGTAATTTAACAAATTTACGATGTACATCGTGCACATTTATCAAGCTTATCAAGCAAATCAAAACACCTGTATGATACATTTCTATTAACCTTTCAGGAATCTTATTTCAATTAACCTGATTCTTTCTTCGCAAATATATTTCGATAACATGGTTTATATTCAAGATTATCACATATTCTCAGAGCCTCTGCCAGTGATTTTGACTTTTTCCATCAATTCACAAATCCAGACTATATTTCCTCTAAATCACAATAAAAATTTTGCTTATTTATATTTCTGATAAAACCGTCTGACTATCGAAGTTCAATTTTAAATCACGAGTGCAGCTAAGAATAACAATCACAACTGAAGCTGTGACGAGTAATAACTAGGATTATTTCTCTCTATCATGACTGTAAATATTCTGTTTACATTTATGAGTGTAATACAATGGCACGGTATCTTCATCCACCTTTAATTTCATTCGTGTAATCTGATTAAATTAGTTGTTTTGTTGTATTTGATGAATATCCCGCAAATTATGAATGTTTTCATTTTTCCAGATATATTCATATATATATATTGGAACACTGAAGATATCTACAGAAATGTATAACAGTTAATTTGTATTAGAAATAAGAATTTTTTTTTCTCAATAAATACTGATTCTTAGTCTATTGTCTTCTAAATGTGTAAATAATTTTTGAGTACATGTACTTTTACATTCTTTTTCCAATGTTAGAAAGAAAATACTTACAGTCTAAGTATAAAAAGGTATCGCTTTTTAACTAACAGCTAATGTGTAAGGAAAATCCTTGTGTATGTCTATATATTACTGCTGTTAATGGTACACTTAGACTTCATTCTGGTTGCGTCCATCATAAAACCTTATTACAGAACTCAGAATCCAAAGTTTTTAAATGAGAACAAATGTCATATTCACACAATACAAAACAGTGAGTGATACAGTGTTGGTGTTCGATATTATTTCACAGTACTCTTTATAATTAACTCTGATAACAAGTGACAACGTCAATATTCATTGCATGTAGGTAGATTCGATTGTGAAGTCCTTAATAATATATATATATATATATATATATATATATAATTTATTCCTTTGCTTTCCCAGTGAAACATATGGGCTTCAAGCCTAAAGTTTGCAGTCCAAGTAGCAGTGGTATTTATTTTTTACCGAGTGGGGTTGCTAGACTAACGACCAACCTTCTCTCATTACTGGGCTTAATACCGGCTAAACGAGGTTAAGCAGTGCGTCGGCTTGAGATTGAATCCCGAACCACGTGAGTGGTTGGAGAATATTTTACCACTGAAACACTGAAGCAATTATATATATATATAATTTCTGCTAATATGTACTTTGAAATTCTGGCGAGGCAGAAATATACAAGACAGAATTTCGAAACAGTCGGCACCCTTAATAAGTCAAAATAATGGATTTAAAAGATAAATATTCGAGTTATGCACAAATCAGCTCAAAGATTTTGGTCAGCAGTCAAGTTCGCAATCTACGACATATCACTTTCCATAACCTTCCAAACATTTTTCGTACTAATGAATAAGGAATGAAATCTTGTTGATTCTACTCCGCACTGCACCTAGAACTTTTTTGGGACAGCTATGCTCCGATACTATTAGGAAGAATATATTTCTAAACGGTTGTCGAATCACATAGGAAATTCAAATATCTTCAGTTTGAATAGAATTCCACTAGCATCCACCATGAAACAACGCTAATGAATGAATGTAACCATTAAAATGAATATTAACTATTGTTTCACAATTATTTCACATAATGCTAATTCAGTGTGACTAAATGTAAAAGCGAGATTTGTATTTACAACATGTATGCTGAATAATGTGTACAGAAAAATAATTTTCAACCTTTACTTGCTATGGTCTGTTTGTCTTGCTAAAATATAACTAGTCATTAATATGCCATTTTATTTCAGATGATTAATTTGTTATCACATATTTGATTACTATCAACCATGCTAACTTCAATGCATGTGTCATCTCGCAATATCTTACTTTTGAATGCTTTAATGAAGACAGAATTACTAAATTGCATCTACTGTAGAGACCAATAATTTAATATCACCTACCAGATCGAGATCTGCTGCAATCAGAATAAAGAAAAAAAAATCCAGATTTACAGCACCAATGTTAAGTCGGTGCTTCTATAAGGGTCGGAAACTTGGCGCACCAGTCACAAGAAGCATCCCCAGCAGCCTGATGGGGACTTTTATTGACAGTTGCCTTCGCTAGCTCCATAATCAAGATCAAATGGCCAGAAAGAATTAGCAACAAGAAACTCTGAGAAGGAATATGTGGAATGACATTAGTTAGAGAACCATTGGAATACTGGGAGTACTGGGCAGCTGTTTCGTCCTAATTTGGGACTCTTCATCAGTACGCACCCACCGGGATTCAGACCCAGGACCTTCTGGCTACAGGGCGTTGGATGTGTACTGCTGAAATCACCTCGTAAAGAGAAGGTCCTGGGTCCGAATCCCGATGGGTGTGTAGCGCTGAAGAGTCCCAAATTAGAACGAAACAGCTGTCCACTACTCCCAGTTTTCCAGTGGTTCTCTAACTAATGTCAGCTCATGATGAAATCCTGTAACCAATCAGTCAAAATCCCTACAAACCAATACGTAAATATGTGGAAGATGTATGAAATGGAAGTGGGTTTAATACATCCTGTGGAAACAGTTGAGTGACGTAGCACACCAGGCAAGCCTTTCAGGTGGAAGCCAGGTCGAAAACGTCAAGTTATGCGTGTATTCGAGGGTGACATGGAGGAGATAGTGTGAGAAGTAGGTGAGAACTTATCGGCAATCGTGGGGGCACCTAAAGAGGAACTCCGAGAACAGGACGAAGAGGGGATGTACAGCTGAAGTACTATGTTCCACCAGGAACCCAAATGAATAACAGTAATAGATGGTAAATAGTTTAACTGTTTAGTGGTTATTGGTGACAAAAATACATCAACCAAATCACTAATCCCTTAACCTGGCTCAATCGGTTAGAAGTCCAATAAAGTGGGAATTTCGGGCGTGAAGCTAGCCACTGTGTAGAAGAAACACGAGGGCTACTGAAAACTGAAGCTTGAAGCCCTTTGTTCCACTTGGAACGTAGATGCATGAAATAAACTAATTCGATCGATAAATTAATTTTTCACGCTGTTAACTGAATAATAATAGTTTTATTCTGAACAATGTCTATATAATGTACAGAATTTTCTGCAAAGTTCACTGAATGATATTTTCTCTTCGTCAAGGATATTCGAATAAAACATTAATTGACAGTACACTGTGTGACACAGTTCTGTCTAATCGGAAGCGCAAACTAATCCATTATGATATATCTACTTTTCTCCCTTTGAAAAATGGATAACATTTGGTTGAATTTCAATTATAAAAAGTTCCTAAGCACAATTTTTTATACCAAAGACACCGCTCAGGAACGGTCACCACATGTTCAGTAGAAACTTGTGAATCAGAAGGTTGTATATGTTTTAAATGCTTGCCAGAATAAACAATACTTATAGTGGTTATATTTTACTAGAGAAACTATATGAAATATATTGATGTATTTTTTCGGTAGCCCCAAGTTTTAAGCAGGCTGCCAATACTTTTAAGGTCACAATCCCTCGAAGAATTCATACCCTAATGTCAAAACAAGTGAGCTATCACCTGAACGCTAGAATGACAGAAATACTGACTTCCCTACTGATTGATAGTGGTCCGGATTTCTGGAAAGTAGGCTCACACTAAGGTCACAGAAATACAAGAATGAAATGTAATTTCGGGGATTTCATTCTCTCTAAAGTCTATTTAAATATGGTTACGTCAGATATATTTACAGTGGTACTATCTTTTTTAATGTAAGATTTCTAGAGAAAGCAAACACTAGTCACTAATACTTGTCCACAGAATTATAAAATTGCAAAAAAGCATCTATGAAGTAAATTTAAATTACACATTTTCAACTTACTTTGCTGGTGGTTGACCTTGATCATTCATTTGACCTAAAGTTTCTTGATAATTTATTGATATATTGTGTTGTTTAGACTCAGGAAGAAATATCCCTCCTGTTTTTGAATTTACCAACTGATTAGTTGACAGTTCATTAAGTCTAAGATGTAATTTTTCAACATCAGATTGATTTCTATTTAACCGTATTGTTTTTGATCGGTTAAAATTACCGGCTTGCTGTTGGTGTTGGTGTTGTTGTAGTTGTGTTCCACGCTTTAGTACATTTTCATCTAACCGATAAGTTGCTCTACCAGATACTGATGTACAATCACTGTTTATTGGTGTAGTTACTCGATCTAATGGTATCATGTCGATCATTTGATTCTCATCAGTATCACTTACTAAATTTATTGATTCATTGAATTCTTTTTTGTTTATATCTGTGAATATTTTAAATATAAAAATGAAACACTATTTAAACGATTAACAGTGTCTACTTTTACATATTATTGTGCTAATATAAAGAAATATTTTGACAACATTTCAAGTAATTTACTTAATATCAATACATCAGAGTACATTATTTACACGTTATCATTGCAAGACAGTATTTATGATACACCATGGAATTCTCAGCATTTAGAGCAATATTACATCTAATTTACCCAACAGCAGAAACAAAACATTACAGGGTATAGGTAACCAAAATTGAATATGGCAACTTTTTGGCACTAGCGATGATAATAAAGTCACAATGTACAAAAACTGTAAAATGGTGATAATAATGTTTATTGCTAAAATGATAAGATTACTGAAATAGTGTCACCATAAATTGCAGATTGCAGAAAACTAAAAAGAGCTATTTATTTTACTGATTACAAAGTAAGTTATAGATTTCACGCTTAACATTCTCTATCACACAAAACGCCGGCCAGATAGGGTATCGATGAGTTTCTGTACTTGGCTGTGCAAGCATATAATCTTCCATAATGATTTCTAGTCCTACTTGATGAGATGCAAGGGCAGAGTTGTGAATGGAAAGGGTGCTGAGAGTCAGACCACTATGGATTTAGATCATTTCTCATATGAATTCAGATATCTGTCGACTGTAACAGTGACGAACTGACCTAGCGGCATACCATTTGCCCTACCGACGACCTTCAGTATCCTTCGTCATGTGAAATAGCCCTTTTTGAGTAACCCAGGAAAGACTAAGGGGTGGGGAGGGGCAAAAAAGAACAATAGGTGAGATGCAAAAGTTAACAAATTGTAAAAGTTGAGTGGCTTCAGATTGTCTTAACTTCTTAGTGTAGAAGGTTAGACAGGAACATTTTCCTAGAAATCAACAGGATATGGGATGACCAAGAAAGATCAGAGGATAGAACAACTCCAAGGTATTTTGTGCTTGACTTGGTTTCTATTTCAGTACCCTCTATGCTTTAAACATCTTGTGAACTAACAAGTTTGTGTAGATGACGTTTACACCTGAAGGTGAAGTTAACTATCTGAAATGTAGAGGAATTTAACGTAAATCATTTAGCTTGTACCACTGGCTTTTGTCTGACAAAATGCTATTAAGTTTGGAACAGTCAGATCGCGACGCAACTGGCAACGAGACAGTCAGATCATCAGTGTAATTACCGAGACTGATTTCTGCCGAAAGAGGCATGTTATATAAGAAGAAAGAAAAAAGAAGAGGAGAGAGAACAGCACCTTGATAGACTTCAGCTTTAGTAATTGTCGAATCAACATCTCTGTCATATATATCAAGAAAACATTTAATCATAACAGTGCAAAATTTAAATAATTTAATGCATTGATGATAGCACACACTTTTAAAATAAGTAGCTTCGAACAATCAGTTCAATCTGATTGATACTTTGAACTAAAAATATCCGTAATTAAGAAATTTCATGGGGATGTCAATTACTCTAACTGTTCTTGGGAGTGGTTTTATATCTAGATCAACTGATTATGAACGTTCGCACCTTCATTTGTAAATATATTTCAAAACCAAGCAACTTCGATAAAGTAAACTTTTCCTGTTTCTAACTCACCTTGTAAGATTTTCAATCTGTCTGGTGTTACATTCGAAAAGAAATGGCTGACTACAAAGGAGGCTGTCCTTTCAATTTAGAAAATTCTTCTTAACATAATTAAAAGTAATTGTTTAGCTACAATAGAAATCTACATATTTCAACGATATTTATTGTGTTTTTTTTAATGTGGTATGTAATTACTCTTCCAATCAGGATTCAAGGTATTTTTCTATTTAAGGTTAAGCCAATACAAGCATTCTTATTGTTCGTCTTCTAGTCAAGCCTTTACAAACCTTTAATCACAAATATATACATTTTTTTATGTATTTGTAATAACCTCATTAGAAAGAATAACTTTGATCAATGATATTTCGAAATTTCTCTTGACTGATTAATTATTCCACCTATTGAACACGATGATTCACCTGGAATAGACACATATTACTAATTTATGCTTACCGTTTAGGCAGAAAACGCCCTAGACACATAGATATATATATGCGTAAACTCTAAATTTTGAGAAGAGAATACACAGTATTTCAGTATATGTATTTTTTTCACTAATAAGAAGAGCTACTTCTCTGGGTGGACTAAATTTTAAAATCTGTAATTAGTCAAATTTTAGCATCATACTTCTTACAGATTAGATGAAAATGAGAGCATAAAGGGGGAGATTTCGTCTTTATCTGACGTATAGTGAGAAACTACTGAAATTCGAGGGACACTGGAGAGTATTTTCATACTTGTCTGAAGCTGTACACTACCGTGCTACTCTACATATTCACATAAGTCACTTGTTCAGGAGCAACATGTTTTCAGACGGAAACTTTTATTCAACTACTACTACTGTGTCTGGACTTGTTTCATCTTTGAACGCTTGGATCTAATATCTTTCGCAACTGTGAGTGTGTGTAGTTTGGTATCCAAAGGTTTCTCTAAGTGATATCACTTCGTTACAACAATTACCGTGAAGCACTTGAATATCTATAGGAAGAACGACTTTAAATGAAAATATGATTCTTTCTAAAATTTATTTTTGTTTTTTTTAATTTTTTTTAACAATAACTTTTATATAGCTCTCGAATGAATTCATCTAAGATGGCATATATTCCACCCTGTAACGACACAGTGCATATCTACTCCAAGCCAATATAAACAATTACAACAATTTTGTGACCATTGTGAGTTTATTTAGATTTAGATTTCATATTTCATCTATTTCTGACGGATTAACAGGAAACTAACGCGCAGTGAGCTTTAATAATAATAATAATTTTTCCTTCACGTTCCCCAGTGGAACATAGGGCTTCAAGCTAGTAGCTTGAAGTTTCTGTAGCAGAGTTTATTTTACAGGATGTGGTTGCTAGCCTCATGCCCAACCTTTCCACTTTACCAGAATTATTTCTGGCTTAGAGAGGTAAAGGTGTGCGTCGGCCGGGGATCGAACCCCGGACCATGTGGATGGTCGGCGAGCGTCCTAACCGCTATACCACCGACGCACAGTGAGCTTTAATGCTACTCACAAAATTCAATCAGTCAAATAAAAGAACGAAACAAGTAGTTCAGTGAAGAGGCTCTTCTCTGTGTGCTCATTTTCTCTAGTTGTACAGTCAGCCTTATATACATTTTTTCATGAAAGAGGGTAGTAACAAAAGTGATAAGTTGTCATAATCATAGTTTTCAGTATTCGTCAATGCATAAAAGCAGTTGAATTAATGTATTCAAGTTAGGTAGTAAGATGAACAACTTGACGAATGAGTTGTAGTCTGGAGACACACAGAAACGAAGGAAAAGTTCGAAATGTTATGCAACAGCAACAACAAACCTGTTACCATTACAGTAGAAGTTACCGAATAAGTTTTCTTTATATTCAGAGCTTCGGTAATGCAAAGGAGGCGGAAGTGTACCACATTTGGAAGGTTGTCTTTCACTTTGTAGATCCGTTTTCAAAGATGAGTTTGTTGAGATAGAATGTCCAATGTTAATAAGGTCTTCAGTTATCACACTCCCTATACAGCTACTTCTGCCCTTCTGCAGCCACATAGGATATTGCTTTTGAACCCTTTTGGACAAGACTCGTGTTGAACAACCAATATACCTGGTTCCACAGGAACAAATAAATCGACATGTATTACTACCCTCTTTTATGGAAAATCTTATATAAATGCTGTTGTAAAGCTAAAGAAAATGAATTTGCCAAGAAGAACCCCTTCGTTGAACTACTTGTTTCGTTCTTTTCATTATTACCTGGATAGGGATTATTCACGCAGTCGAACTAAATAAACCAATTTATCACACAAAAACGTTTCTAGCAAAGTGTTCCTATAAAATGATATCACCGAAAAATGAGCTACTCTAATCTTTGTGCATGCACACAGTTTTTAAAGCTTTACTAATTATCCGATAAAAAACTGAAAATGTGTTCATTGCCGATCACAGCTTTGGATCCTAAGATATGATCTCCTACCAGAATATAATTTATTATTTCAGGATTTCATCATGAGCTGACATTAGTTAGAGAACCACTGGAAAACCTGGGAGTACTGGACAACTGTTTCGTCCTAGTTTGGGACTCTTCATCAGTACGCACCCACCGACACCGTTCGAACCCAGGACCTTCTGGTCAGAAGGCGAGCTAGCTCGTAGACCATTAAGCCACTGGGACCCAATCCAATGGCCATCCCATGAATTCTAACTTCTGCCAATTCACGACATAGCGCGACCGCTAGCCAGTGCCTTTGGCGAGTATTTGTCCTCACCCGCTCATCCCGGTGGGTGCGTACTGCTGAAGAGTCCCAAACTAAGACGAAACAGTTGTCCAGTACTCCCAGGTTTTCCAATGGTTCTCTAACTAATGTCAGCTCATGATGAAATCCTGAAACCAACCAAATCCCTACAAACCAACACTTAAATAATTTGTTATTAATATTATTGTTCCCTTGGGTTCCTAGTGGAACATAGGGTTTCAACTGCACGTCTCCACTTGCTTCTGTTTCCTGCTGTACTTTTCACCTGCATCCATCCACGTTAGTCCATACTGTTTCAACTCCTCTTCACACCATCTTCTCCATGTCACCCTTGCACTGACGTCCCACTCGCCGCTTCACTTTTGGCTTCCACTCGAGGGCCTGACACGCGATGTCACCCAGCGGTCTCCTCAGCGAGCGACTGTCCAATCCATCTCCACTTTCTCCTGCATATTTGTTGGGCGGCAATTAGTTCTTGTTCTGTTTGTCCCCATAGTTTCTTGTTGGTGATTCTTTCCGGCCCGGTCATCTGATCTTCAGTATAGAGCGTAGATTTAAACAAATTGCTACAGTAACTTCAACGCACAATTTGGTACTGGATGATTAAATCGAGTAATATTCAACAAGATAACTTTATCATTTCAAAATAAAATTACCTGATTTACTGGTAGTTACTTTAGACTGATTAGCCTTATAATTTACACCAGCCAGTAACAATGAATTCACTTCCCGACTTGGTACACGTGATGTGAACCAGACAAAAAGTTCACCAGCCATTGCTGCATGCTGTAAACGTCGATGTGTCGGGGATCTAGCCAAGCCTTGTGAACAAAATCCCAATAGATTCAACGCACTGAGTGTTGTTGAACATGAATCATTGAAACGTATTGTATTCCCATTGCATGAATCAGGCATTAAAAATATAACATTGTGTAAATCTGAATTTTGTTGACATACTGATGCAATCGCACGTGCATTATGATGTGAAGCTGCTTGTTCCATTTCTCCAGTTGGTAGAAAATTAAACAAAAAATCTGAAAATATCAGGACAGAAATTAAAATAAGCGTTTATAGATGAGAAAAAATTGATAAAAAGTGTTTACAAACTTTAATAGGGGTAGAACCCTTCAGAAATCTAGAACAAATCCTCAATGACTCTGGTGTTGAGATATATTGAAGAAGATTCTTAGCTCATTTGGATGATTTTAGTGTATTTGAATATTCCGAGCTTGTGAGACGATGAAAGATTTTTAAGTGTACCAACCATTTTAGAGAACGCAACCACACCAAAAGACTCCGGCATTGTTTTGGTAGACGGAATTTCAGTTATCAGTCTATCCTCACGACCAGTTAAATTGAGTTTACAAATAATCATTTCAGGATTTCATCATGAGCTGACATTGGTTAGAGAACCACTGGAAAACCAGTCATGAAGTACTGGACAGCTGCTTCGTCCTAGTTTGGGACCCTTCAGCAGTACGCACCCACCGACACCGTTCGAACCCAGGACCTTCTGGTCACAAGGCGAGCTAGCTCGTAGACCATTAAGCCACTGGAACCCGATTCACTAACCAGCCCATAAATTTTAACTTCTGCCAATTCCCGACATAGTGCGACCCCTAGCCAGTGTCTTTGGCGAGTATTTGTCCTCACACCTGACCCGCTGCATCCTACTGGTCACGACTTCTCAGCAGGCCAGGACATCTTAGAAAAAATTCTTTGTTCACAAAATTAAATAACGAAATAATTTAATTCAGCTTACCTTCAGCTGGAGCTAGTTCAGGACAATAAAAGTGAAATGACAACGCGACAAGATTCGCCATTGCTAAACCTCTTAAGAATATATCCGCTGACTCTTTTAAAGAGTCTGTATTTATGGTATTTGCTGAATCACAAGATGATGCAGGTGAATGCGAATCGTTCGACTTATCTTCATTAATCAAATGATTAATCAACCATTCTGTACAATCCTTAAGAAAAATTAATCATAATATCGTGATTTAGAGATGATAATTGAAAAGAAAGCATTACTTGATCAATGAAAATGCCGATCAATTACAAACCAACTACTAAAATTGAAAACAAGCAATAAAGTTTAATAAAGCAGGATTTAATGAATCCATCAAATTTCGGTAGAACTCGTCACCTGAATACAGCTTAATAAATTCATAGACGTTTTTCTAGCCAAAATGAATGATGGCACAATCGAAAGATCTATATTTAGAAAGTCTTCATGAACAGGACAGTAAATGCATTTCAAGAGCTTTGTTCCAATCCAGTACAAAATGAACCTAGTCAGAACACTGTTCAATAGAGCACGAAAAATTTGTTCTGACAGTACTATTGAGCATGAAATAAAATCTCTGAAGGATATTTTATCTAAGAATGGATATCCTGAGAAGTTCATTAATAAATACTCTAAAGAAACTACCCCCTGCAAAACAATGCAAACAGTTCCGAAGAAACCTGTCTATATCAGTTTGCCTTTCAAAGGAGATGACCTACAGGAAGTAGTCAAACGAAGACTCGACAAAGCCATCAAGAGAACTTATTATGCTGCAAAACTTGTTTTCCTTAACACCACCACCGAGTGAGTACTTCAACAATCTGGGAAAGACCAGTCGCCAATCCTCTACACTTCAAACTGCGTATATCATTTTGAGTGTGTTTGTGGAGGCAAATACATAGGTCGTACAGAAAGGCGATTGTCTACTCGCATGATGGAGCATTTGCCAAAATGGTTGAAAACAGCTGAGTGTAAAGTGCCGAAATCCTCAATAGCAAAACATCTTGTGGACTATGGATATGATATCGACGTGGTCAAGTCATTCACTATTGTCGACAGACAAAGAAACAAGAAGATGCTTGCAATTGCAGAGGCTTGTGCAATTCAAGTTTATAAACCAAGTCTCCGTGTACAAAAGGAGATGGTCGTCACTCTGAATCCACCATGGTAATACGATTTACTTATTATTCTACCTATTAAAAAAATTATTATTCTTGATTCATTTAAACTAATCAGTAAGATTATCTTAACTCACTTCAACATTATTATTGTTATTATAACTATTACTAATGATATTACTGTTTGCAATTCTCATTATATTCTCTTATAACTAATTCTTTATCTAAGTGATGTAACTGAAGCGTAATGCAATTTATCTAATTTTGATCTCTCATACTCTCTCTCCCTTTATCTATTTGAAAATGACCTGGAAAACACTCTCACCTGTCTTTCTGCATGACTGATTCAATGTAGTCTGTTTACTTATCAGTCTTATGTCTCCCAATGTAATTTCAAAAGTATGCATATATCCGTGTATTTAGAGTATTCAGCTGACGAGTTCTACCGAAACTTGATGAATTCATTAAATCCTGCTTTATTAACCTTTATTGCTTGTTTTAAATTCGTATCAGGAAATAAATGTTTTCAACTACTGGAAATTTTAAATTCATAAATTTCAGTGTTAACTTTTGTATGCCTAATTAAATAATTTGATGAGAATGCTTGTGATATTGATCACCGAATATACCAGATAACATAAGTAACCCAATCATAAGAATCCACTTGTAAACGATAATACATGCGGTAGGAACGTGAGTATAACATTGGTTAGCATCATTTCAATGGTCTTTAAAAAAGCTTTCATGTATACTGTTTATAAACTACTCAATAGTCTTATTTGTCTAATGTCCCTAATAAACTTATGTTTAACAGGTGTTGAATAATTAAAACATGAGTTCCTAACCTTGATTGTCAATCTCCCACCCTGTAGACTATTCATTTGCGTTGTCTGAAAGTTTCACATACTTGAACAACAGCAAATAAACTTTAAGTGCATATTTTCTCGCATGGAACCATAAAAAACTGAAGGACACTGGACAGATGCTCCTCCCTAGTTTGGGTCTCTTTAGCAGTTCACGTCCATAACTCCTTTTGGGGTCAAACACCGGGCCTTCAGCCTAAAAGGCCAAAGTCTTTAACGATTCCGCAGGAATTCAGCTTCCCATGAAGTTTAACTTCTGTGAAGTTCGTGATGCAAAGTTACCGCCAACGTAATTTGATTATTACTGTATGTAAAATGCTTAGGAGTGGTTTCGAACCAATGAGTACTAAGTTTTTAACTATGCAGTTAACTTCTAAAAGACTATGCATTAAAAGACTAAAACGTTTCACTAAGTTATCTACGTGCAAAGTGGTTTCATACGCATTACCATATGAATTTTATATTCTGTTCCTTATAGTAATAATGAAGAAAGCGAAAAAAAGAAAATCAATTTGAAATAAATGTATGGCTTTTCCACCTCTACGACAACATTTAGATAATTTTACAGCTATCTAACCAGTATGAAATGCAGTCCGCAGATCTGAACAACTGACGTGTCCAGATTCTATCGTAGATTGACAAATTAGAGTTTACATACTACTAGTATCCTTGTAACTAAGTTCATGTGTCGTAAATTAAGTTACAGACTCTGAAACTATTCAGGAGTAGTTATTAGGTTATATGACATAAACCTCCACGTCATACAGAAGCTTATTCAAAGTAATATTCCTTGAAGACTGGAAAATATAAGGGATAGTAAAAACCAAGTTACCAAACTACAGATATTTATTATGCATTGACATTTCTTTCAAAAGATTATTTTGCACAGTAAATTGAATCTGAAAAACACTACAGTCTTTTGGTGACAGAATCTGCTTAGTTATGTTAATCTGATGAGAATTTGGATCCCATATAGAAGAGTGAAATGTTGAATCACTCAAAAAAACAGATGTTCAGATTTTCAGTCACACTTTGAAAGTCACAACGAAGTAGTTGTACAACGTACACGCATACCAATAAATATGGCTATAGAGGCAGTCAGAAACGAACGCATTTCTGACCAAGAACTCGAACTTAGGACAAAAGTTCCACTTGAGGACATAATACTGGGAGTGCAGCTATGCCTGACTTCCACAGTATTTAGATTCCAAGGAAAAATATACAAACAAACTGAGAAAGTTGCCATGAGATCACCAATATTCCTGGTTGTATCAGATATATTCATGGATAGGTGGGAAAACATAGCGATTGAAACGTTAACCCCTAACCCAAAAGTATGGTGGAGATATGCAGATAGATTTTTCGAACACATCAACTCAAAGGTAAAGGTAATTCAATTCACTTATGAATTGGAAAGCCAGGAAGGGGAGCTTCCAATGTTAGATTGCAACGTAAAAAGAAAAGAAGATGGAAAGTTAAACACTGTGTTTACAGAAAACACACACACTCAAACAGGTATTTGGACTTCCGATCATCCCATCCTATGTCCGTAAAAATAGGATTGATGAAATGTTTAAGTGACAGAGCACAAAAACTAAGTAGTACCAAGAAAAATATAAGACAGGAAGTGACACATATAAGAGAAGCCTTGAAACTTAATAATTACCCTGGTAATTTAGTCAAGAAATATATAGGGAAATGTAAAAATAAAATAAATAATGATAGTAGCGATAGTGGTAATAATAATAGTGATAATAATAATATTAATGAAGGCACCAACAATGAAGAATCTACATCATCAGTAGTAATTCCATACAAGGAAGGAACCTCGGAAACCACCTTACGCAGAATTCTTAACAAGGCAGGCAGGAATAAAAGTGGCTGGCACTCAAACCAACCACAAGCTCAGTCAGAACCAAGCTTTGTCGGTTAAAGGATCCTGTCTGTGGAGCCAATAAAACAAAACAATTTAGTTTGTCTAATACTCTGCCTCAGTGGTTGTCACGTCAAATACATGGATCAAACTAGTAGAACAGGGCAGTCAGACCAGCCGAACATAAAAACCTAGTAAAATCTAGATTGGTTGACCCGAATAAAATAAGAAATCTAGAGAATAGTTCAGCTATGCCGCTCACTACATGCAATTACACGCAACCATACAATAGGATGGATGGGATAAGATGACAGTTTTAAAATCTAATGTAACAGTTGGGTGGAGGGAGAGATTGGTAGCAGAAGCTTTGTTCATCGAATCAACTGACAGGGAATACGTGTAATAGGAATGATTCAACACCTGTCCCGGACATCTGGACAATTCTACTACCCCAACGATGACAAATAGGAGAAGAAAAAGAAAACTATAGAACTCAGGTTTCAAAGTCGTGTGACTATGCTTGATATGATTATGAACCACGATTAATTGTGTTCGAAACTGTGTCATCCAGTAAATAATACTGTTTCACTGTGCGATATATCTAATAAACAAACTAATGTGGAATTAGTTGTACAACGGTTTCTTATAAACTGAAAAGACTCATCGCGACGCCAAACAACAGTGATAAAGAAAGCAGGGACTTTGAATTTATAAATGTCAGTAGGATTCCTCAGCTTGTTAACTAATTTACTATTGTTTATGTACCACCATGCAACGAAAGAATACATACAAACTGAGACAACACGAATAAAGCAGTTTCTTTCATTGTTTAGGTTCTGAATGGAACATAGAGCTTTGGGTTCTGAAATATCAGTACCAGCAGTGTACACTAGCCTCACGCTAACCCTTTCCTCTTTTTCAAGCCTACTACCCGTTAGTTAACCAGGCAAGGTTTAGAAATACATTGTTCAGGAATCAAAACCGAACCTCTCATAAGTATAATTCCATTATAGATCATAAGTATTCTACACTTGAGCTACCGACGCAATTTAGATGTCCATGATGTTACAGTGATGGACAGATTGAGAAAGTTTAAGAACTAAATGCATCACTTTGGTGGGAACTGTTGATAATCAGCTGGAAAGCTTGATAATAGGGCATAACCAAGCAATTATAAATGCTTGATGAACGAATGCATACTAAGAAAGTAGTGTTTCTGATTTCACTTCATTTTATGTCCAGCTACATTGATATTTCTTGGATGTGTCCTGACACAAATGAATACTCCATCTCTATTTTGACAACCTGTTCCCCTTTATGGTGTTAAATATCAATGTCTTGTCTATTTTCGTAATTGCCTTGAGCTGAATGGTAAATTAAAACGTACTAGTAACTTTTAAGGTCAATATCCTTTACTTAAGTAGACATATTTATTAATAAACTTTACAGGAAATCCGTCTAAAGTTGTCTTCGTCAACAAATTATGGAGATGCGGATATTGTCTATACTCAAAGTAAATTCTTTTTGAATCTTACTTAAATTGTCTGTGGTATTCCGCAACACTCATTTTATCACCGTAAATAGCGTTCATGCAACAGAGATATTTTATTTTGCTTGGACACTAGTAACTAGTGTGATGTGTCTAGTCCTCTCTTTGGTGCAGACTGAATTCTATCAGTCAGGTTTGCAATGTGGCCACCATTCTAGGTAGTTCGTCATCACGGTGTACATTGATTTGATGATATTAGATGGTTGGAGGCAATCGGCAAGAAGCCTTGGATCTAGGTTTCGTGCTACTTGGCACTCATCAGCAACGCATATCTGCAATTTTGAAGGAACTTTATTGGTTGAAGGCTTCCTACCGACTGCCTCCAACAATCCAATGTCATCAAATCAGTGTGCACCGTGATGGCGAGCTACCTAGAATGGTGGTCACATTACAAACCTGACTCATAGAATTCAGTCTGCACCAAAGTAAGGACTGGACACATAACACTATTTACTAGTGTCCGATCAAAGTATCCACAACAGTCCTACAGGAGGTCAATCGCGAGCCCGAATAGCTCAGTGGTAACGTCTCTGACTCCAACACTGGGTGACGCGGGCTCGAATCTCAAAAGGATATGAGTTCCTTCAAGGTTGCAGGTACCCCCTGCTGACAAGTGCCAAGTAGCACGAAACCTCGGTCCAAGACTTTCTGCCGATCGCCTCCAGACATCTAATATCATCAAAGATATTTTATCTAAAGTGACAATCTGCAGTGATAATTTTAAATCCATACTTCGTTTTCGTAGCAAAGCTAACATTTGAGATAAACAAGTTTTAGCTGAGGTGAGGCCAATGAACTGTTCATTTACATATTGGAGTCTTAAAAGCAAAGTTTTCAATGTGAACAGATATGTGATAGATTGTTTGACTTTACTTTTGAAACTAAATATTAACCTTATAGATATACCTAATCGATCACTAATCTCAGACATGAAATTCTGTTGATTTCCTGTCAACTACTTTGATTCCTCTCACGACTAACACAATATACTCCTATCCTTAACCAATTAAAAACAGAGAAATTCAACCAATCCTGATAGCCGAACTCCATGACTTTGATTACGACTTAGTATAACATCTATGTTGATTATCTACATTCACTTATCCGAATCATTTGTTTCAATAATTTCATAATAGTAAATACTAAATCTTACAGCTTGTTTACTTTGAATACAGAAAATCCATTTTATTTTAAAACAGCATAATTTGGTTCAGCTTGAAGTAGTGGTCTTTGGAATCCACTTTAATATCAGGTATACAATATCTTCCGAACTTTAAGTGATTTTGTCTCATAGTTTACCTACTCCGTATACTTTATGTGTATTTATCAATAAATATTCCAAGGTTACAGATACATAGTGCGATTTGTGTGTTCTAAACCTTCACACATAACTTTCGTCCTGAGATGAGATATGCAACCACTCAGTTGGATTACGGTAGTTATGCTTTCGAATATCGGATTTCACAGTCAAACATATAATGATTTACCCAAGGATGTTTCACTCAATATGCTTTCAATAAATCATGCTAGTCTCAGGAGAGATTAAAAATGTAACCACAATATTTATACCTATTTCGACGTTTTAACTAACTTTTTAATTATTATCCGTTTTCCTGCTAGACTGTGACTGCATAAATAATAATAATAATAACAGCTTAATTCCAAACAGTATTTGTGGTACAGGTATGGAATTTTCAGCGTGCATTACAATGTATTGCATCTAATTACATCATAAATTTTATAAGATTTTAAAATCAAAAAGCAACACCCAAAAAAAGATAAGTAAGAAAAAAATAAATAGAAAGAACAGCGTAGTGTTTACATTTCAAACAATGCACCACAGGATATAAAAAAGAAGATTAGTGTGTAATAGAAGATGAGAACAACAGTGTAATAGTAACGAGGAAAGGAAAACAAAAACTAATGAGACTATTTGTTAGAGTGCTGCAGTAAGTTGGTCGTGTCATACCTAACGGATTTCTCATCACATAACACCTGTGCCAGATATGGTATTGTGGAGTTTTTGTATTTGGTAGTCCTAGCATATAGCCAGCCTCCTATAGCTGCTTCTAGTTCTACCAGATGAAATGCAAGGAGAAAGCTGCATATAGAGAGGGTCTGACAATGTTGTATTCGCTATTTTCTTACATGACATTATATGTCTATCCACAATAGTGTCAACCAGTTGGTTTAACGATATCCCACTTGCCCTACTAACGGCTTTTAGTGCCCTTCTCAGCAAAGCAAAGTCTTTCTTAAGTAGTCCAGGAAAGATTAATGGGGAGCAGTAAATGGGGATGGGTAGAACACAAGAATTGACAAACTGTGAAAGCAAAGACTGCTTTATACCAGACTACCTAAACTTCCTAATGTAGAACGTTAAGCGAAACATCTTTGTAGTAACTAGCAAGATGTGGGAGGACCAGGAAAGATCGGTGGAAAAACTCAGCCCAAGGTACTTGACATTAGATGTATTTTCAACCTCTATGCTGTAAATGATAATGGGGCCATGTGAGCTAGCTAGTTGTTGTAGGTCACGTTTACGTCTGAAAGAGAAATCGACTACTTGACATTTAGACGTATTAAGCTTAAGTCCGTTTGAAGAGGACCACTGACCAATATCCGACAGAAAGTTATTTAATTTGGAACAATCTGACTGAGATTTGAAAGGCATAGAAACAGAGAGGTCATCAGCATACTTAACAAAAATGGTCACATCAGAATGAGGCAAGTCATGTAAGAAGAAAGAAAACAGAAAAGGAGAAAGAACAGCGCCTTGAGGAAAACCAGCTAAAGTAAGTGAGCTAGTGGAGGACTTTCCATTATAGATGTAATGCTTCTATTTTGACTTTGCATATCACATGTTGATTTGATCCTTATAATTTGTCGTCGTCCCTGTCTAACCCCTAATTATGATGCTTCTCTTTGCAGTTGTGCAATACATTGATAATGTGTTGTTTTATGATGTGATTTTGTTTGTGTGAATGAAGGTCATTCTGACTTTGTGCTATCTGACGGGAGTATTGCTGTGTGATTCTTGTGGACAGAGTGTTCTACGTGATTTTAAATGCTCGTTTTGCACTCAGACTGGACTGTACAGCTGTCTAAGACACTGTTGAGGCAATTTTGAGTTTTTGATGTTATTATTATTATTATTATTGAATAGAACCACACATAGATTCCAATAAAAAGCAATCGTCTTTTTTCTGTTTTTGGAGCTTTCGTGGTTGTGCATGCATGTTAAAGGAAATTTTGCCAGCTATACAGTAGAATACAAAGATCGATTTCCTGTGGTCGAACCATTACGAGTCGGTATCGGTTGCTATAAATATCAGCTAATAGTCCCCCAGTGACTTGAATTTCAGGTATTTCGAGGACACATCAGAATTTGTTGTTATTGACCTGCTTTATTGCAAAACGAATAAGCCATTTACTTGAAAATAAAGTACTTCTAATTTCCTGCGTGCATACAAAAACTATTCCTAACAATGTAGGGGTTTTCAGCACAGTATACTACTACGGCAAGTTGAATTTTTCTGCTGTCATTTTACAAGAGTGAGTTGGATAACTTCTGCTGGCATATGTATTCTTTATTCAGAGACTACGATATTAAATCTATAATAAAGGTAGCTAACATTTCGTTCCTCTTAACCAAGTCTTCAAATCATTATTTTTAAAAGTAAGATGTCAGCAGAATAATAAGCGAATTTGTCGGTCACTATAACAACGACGCTAATTGTAGCGGCAAAAATTGTTGATATGTTCACATGATGAGACATTAAATTTTGAATGAGGATTCATACTGTTCTGTAACAATAGATATCGCTTATTACTCATATCAAAACAGCAAGGTTCAAAGTTTAATACATACATTTGCATTTTGTGATTCCATGCTGGTAACATATGTGGCCTATTTGATCAAATATTGTTTGTTTTTACTCGTATCCTAGTGGCGCTAAATCAAATTTGAGTGTGAAATATGAACACTCGAGTAGTATATACTTATGTGATATGCCGAGTTATATTCACTGAATTTAAATTTCTGCGTGATTGAGAATGTTTGTTAGGATATAAACGATGTGGCTGATTACTACAAAGTTCGGTGGGAAATTACTACTTATGGAAATGATAGCCATTTCATAAAGCATTCACTGATTTCATCGAAAGCCTACTGTATAAAAAGTCTCTGTAAGCTAATTTAAAATAAAATATTTTATTGGGGTTTCTATGGAAATATACTCTGTCATTCTTGTGTTCTCAGCGGAGCATAAGACTTCAGGCTATGAAGTTTTAGTGGTGGTGACTACTAGCCTTACACCCCTACTTCCCTCTTTTCTGGACTCAATGACGGCTAGACAAGGTTTAGGAGTGAGTCGGATGGAAATTGAACCGCCTACTTTCCGTGTAGTTACTGAGTAATTGACCATTGGACCACTGATTATATTTAGACATTTATTGTGTAATTTCATACTTCTAATGATTTATCAGGGAAAAAATAGAACGATCTTAAATTGGTACAGACAAAGTCTAATCGAAAGAAAACAAACAAGGAAGCAAAGTGATGAATACAATAATCTTTTCGACTTACATTTATGCCTAAAATTGTGACTGTTCTAGCAGCGACTGTAACCAGCCAAAATAAAGCTCCATCAGCACCTTGAAGTCCTTTTATTGCACGCTCATTTACTTGACATCCAGCTATTGTACTGAACAAAAAGTGAATCATAAATAAGCATATATATAGCGGTATTTATAATGAGATGGACATCCAGAAGTGACATGGAGCTGGTGGTATGAGGGGGAGAGGAGAACTTGTAGACAATCGCAGGGTCAGCTAAAGAAGCTGCAGAGAACATAGTGAAGTGGAGATATACTACTGAAACTGAATGTTCCACTCAGAACCGAAAGGCATAGTAGTAGTAATAAAAATAACCAAAATCCTGAAAGTTATTTGAAACCCTTATTATGAACACAAGCAACACATTTTGCTCAAGACGTCGTTAGTATATAAATCATACTCTTTCAACATCTGTTATGTCATATACACTTATTCTATTATCAAATTTATCATAACATCTCTAAATAAGTTAATTGTTATTGCTACACGGAATAATTAAGTTGAACGATATTCAAAATACAAAATGAAGTTATCCTAATTGACGGATATTTTCGGAGAACAGTGAAACTTGGTTTTCAGCCTTTTGAATGACAACATTAAGAAATATACAATTTAAAGTCATCGTCGTTTAATCCAGTCTTACTTTCGTAAATAGTAATTCAGTTAACTCAACCAAAAGGTTTCTTAGTACAACTCCGTTTAACGAAATTTCGGATATTAAAACTGATAACCATTTTAATTATTAGAACATTTTGCATTCCAACATACTAATTGTTCTTGATTGTTTAATATCGAAAGTAATATCATCAGTAAGCGTCTTCACTAGGTGCCTACACTTTACGAACAAACTAGCAAATTGTATTCACTACTGGATAACAATATTCAGTTCGCTCTATTTCTTGCCAGTCACTGTTCGAATACTTAAAGGACGATATCCAGCTCGGAGTGAAAGGCAGTCAAACTACATCACCTTTAACAGATATACAAATTTCACAGGTCGCAGGTGAAAGCCGGTTCCCACATTTCACTATGAATTTTCTTGGAAATTAAAGTATTCATACTAAAATGCATAACCTGAGGTAAAGTTATGATAAAGTCAAGTTTTGAACATGAAAAATTTTGAGTAGATATTATAGAAGAGAGAAGTAGTTTTGGGCCACATACATCCGTAGTTTTCGCTAAGCCTATATCGAATAATACTACCAATATAAGTTTGAGACAGATTTCATAAAATCACAAATGAAAGCTTATATTTCCTTACATTTTGTTCAAAAGATACAAGGAGTTATGATCCTCAATCGTTGGTTTGCAGGAATTTGATTGGTTTCAAGTTAGATGACAGGCTGACATCAGTTAGAGAACCATGGAAAACTAAGGAGTGCTTGATTGCTCTTACTTCCCAACCTGCCTTTTAGCAGTGCACAGTAATGACCCAATCCCAGCACCTGAATGGTCAGTGAGCTCGCCTCGTTAGCTGAAGGTGATAGGTTCGACCCCTGGCGTAGTCATAGATAAGTACTACTAGACAGTCTCAAACTACGACAAAATATCTGTCCAATACTTCCTCTTTCTCACTGGCTTTCTAATTGATGTCAATCTGTGATCTAACTTGGAGGTGATAATTATGTAGAGACAGAAAACTCATTAAAGTTAAATTTATATTAGAAAGATGGGCGTTTTTTCTGATAACCTTTATTCTAACCACAAGAAAGTTCAGATGTACTAGATTATGGTTACTAGAAAAGCGGATAAGCGGGAAATAAATTTCTTAACTAAGTACTTCGAAGCTATTACTTTGTTAAGTTATTATAAAAAAGCGTAAAAGGTGGTTTTTTAAAGAAACGTCGGTGTAAATTAAGAAATCGAATCGCTTTATACAAGTAACACCTTAAGCCTCATTTCCTGAATCTTTTTGATTGATATCATTAGACACTATGACACAACTTTCTTATCGATTGTAAATCTAAGTCAGTCGTTCTTAAGATAAACTATTCACCTGTACAAATCTCATGCTAATGACAATTAATATTCGGTCTAAGCTGCTGATTTCAGAGTCAAATTAATTATTTTCATACAACATTTTAATTGTATATATATACATGTGTTCAGACCAGGAGTGTGAGTGACACTCACTTCCATATCAAATAAATGTATTTAAGCATAGGTGAATGTACTCAAGAAATAAGAAAATCTACTGAAAATCATATCCGCAGAATAATACTGTACATTTTTCAATGAACCTGACAATCATTATACGATACCATTGTTTCAGAGATACTTGATTCAAAAGAAAGCTTACATGGTAAAAGATGTTTAGTGTTAACTTGCAACCGTTGGTAGGAGGAACTCTTTACTCCATCTACACAGCCTGCTTACTGACAACTGAAAGCAGAGTGTATCATCATGTTGCTCCATTTAGCTAAGAGGCTGCACCACACATATAACAAAGAGGCTTTTCTCGGCACACAGGATTGCGAAGCTATACTGATCACCATTTGACTGGTCATCTGTAGGCTAACACCAATGACGCGCATACATTTAATTATAACATACAGTGAACATTTTCCCTAAGTAGAATTTAAAATCATTATTCATAGTTTGTGTATTCACGTTCATTGAATAAATAATGATAGATGACAGTGATAAATGCTCAGTGATGCATAATTTCTCCATACAAATAACTTAAAGCTAAATGCTAAATCGCAAAACTTTGGAAATCAGCCGTTGAAAACTTGGTGATAATATCAAAATAACACTGTACATTTATAAGTCGAAAAAATTTAACTGCTATTCGTCTAAGTTAAAATACTCACCTTAAAGCACTGACCAACTTCGCCGGTGTAATCAACTTCAATAAATAAATCCGTAAAATCATTTCGATTAAAGCAATATGTGATGCTAACCAGATGAGATTCAGTTGGTCAGCAGCTTGTGAATAATCACCACGTTGCATTTCGATATGAGGATATATTAAATCACTTGGCTGGACGATATGAGAATTTTGGAATTCACCCTTGTAACACACTGGTCTATCTATTTATGACAAAAGTTATAGTAAAGGCAAGTATTTGTTGCGTACCTTTCGTCAGTTCCAGCAATTCATGTGCATATGATTCGAGAACGGCTGAATCAAGAACCAATCTTCGGCCACCACATAAATTTGCCAATTCCCCAAGTAAACTAGAAAAATCTGTCGCATAAATTGGAAATTAAATTCTTTAGTTTGGAATCACCGTTCATTTCTTTGTGTGAAGATTTTATGGTAATGACGATATTACCACCATCGTCATATTTATTCAGACATGCAGGGGAAAAAACTCCCTAAAAACTATATTAAGGTGTAAGACAAGTTGACACTAATGAATATTTCGTTTACAGGTGAAATATATTATTTGAATTAGACTTGAACTTAAATTTGGAGTTTCGGAAAATAACTGGTTGTCTTTTCTTCTAAACATGGCTATTGAATGTCTTTAAATGAGCATACTAATCTCTCAGTAAAAGCATTCACTAGGTTAAAATGTTTAATTGAGAAGTTCAGGAGATGAATGAAGTGTTTTAAAGCTAAGCCGATGAAAAAGGCTAAGGATCTCGCGAATGCCGGAAAACTCCTAAATGATTCAGATATACTCCGTCGACGGATATCAATGAGGAGACAAAATCTATCTTAAGTATTGTGTCGAATGACAGGAAGTGTTAAAGGAATAGGCTGGAACACTTTGATGTTAACTTAGTCTTTTAAAATTATGGCTGGAGTTAGTACACCTTTGAAATCTAACCTAAGTAAATTACATCGTACATAGACTGGACGTATGACAGTAATTTCAAGGAAGAATAAGAAAGGCTATACCTTTTGATCACACCAGAATTTGAGCTTCGAAATCTAGAAGGTTTATAGGAATCTAAGAAATAATGAGGAAATTTTCAAAATAGATTCAATCCTCGAACTATAAAATGGAACAAAATATTTGTATAGAGTGAATTCAAACGAAAACACCATGAAAGAAATTTTAGTGGTTACATTAGAAACAGTAAAACATATTGTCAAATCTGTCTATGTGTATCTAGCCTAATATTACTTCAGTTTTATTTATATATAAGTAGCCACATTGCGTAATTGGTCTAAACTATGCCCATGGCTTCTTTATTTCACTCATGGATATTTGTGAACGGTGAAATGCAATTTTTACAAACATAATTAGTCGCAGTTTTGTTAATGTTTGATTTATCCGTCAAGCCTAAATTTCCGAAACAACAATGAAAATTTGCTACATTTCTGAAATTAGAAGATCTAAAACTGGAATCTTGGTTGCCCATACTTGAACACTAATTAGAAGCAATTGTTATTACAAGCTGCTTATGAGACTTATGAGTATTGACGGCAAAAAACACAGTTAAAGAAATCTCCCCAGATGCTGGCTTTCACTGTTGGAAGAAGCAGTTTCATGGAAAATAATATTTAGGATTAAGTACTTCTTTGCAACTAAAAATAACTCAACAGTTTAACAAAAAACTCTTGAAATATCTTTGTCTCATGAACCTTGGATATATAAACATTTAAGAAATTAAATATTGGTCACCTTTCCAATAAAGATGTCAGTAGTTAATTAGTAGGTGTTCACTTGAATGAACATGTTCATTCAGGTGGCATTTGCAAATGCCAACAGTCAGTAGTTCATAACACATCCAAAGCGTTTTAATAGAATGTACCATTGATATCAATTGTATCAAAACCATAAAATAAACACTGTATGCAACATCGGCAAAAGCACGGCAAATAAGAATATCAGTAGTCGAACTAATTCCTTAGAAAATAAATTATATTTACAACTTAAAATAAATTAAATGAATCTCATTAGTGGTTAATGATGATTCAAAGTTACAATAAGACAAACAATGCTAAAAATTAGAACTGCTACTTTTAAAAATTTAATTTTTAATTATCTTAATGCTTACCGTTAGGAGAAGAATTGAATTCAATTATTTGGCTGATTCCACTGTAAAGTTCATAAGACGATAACCCGACTATGAAGGAGTGATTTAGTTCCCATACTCCCTGTTAAAGTTGTAAATAAGTTTATAAAAACTCAGCATATCCTTACCTCATCATTTTCAACGACAGGATATAAAAATTTAGGGTTAAAAGATTGGCCCAACACCTTTAAGGATATCCACCGAAATAAAAAGCAAGTTTTCTCCTGCGGTGTGAAAAGTGAAAAATATTAATTACCTTGAGCATACTTGCAATGACGCTAACTTTAAAAAGTCAACTTAGAAGAATTATTTTTATTGGTGGATAATAACAAAAAGCACTAGAGGTCAGTTACAGGGAACTAGACTTGTTTTAATTACTGTGGTACAATAATGTGATTGAAGTCTTCTTGCACTGGTTTTTTTAATCAACATTCTATTACATTTTGAACAACCACTGTAGTAATGTTAGGCATATTATTGGTGAATTTTCAAGAGATAAAATATTGTGGGAAGGGGGGATACTGCTAGGGTTTACGCGTTCTTAGTGGTTACATTTTAGGCTGATGGACACTAATTAGGAATAAATATCGTCGACGTCAGCCAGGAAGGTCCAAGACAAAATTTCCCACCTGGTAAGATTAGGGAATTCTGTATACCATTAGTTTGTCATATCTAAAATGATTGAACTGCTGTGTGCTCTAAGTGGGTCTCAGCATTATTCTCCATACAACAATTGCAGAGAAGATAATTACTAAGTCAGATATCAGTTAAGGTATCCTGAGAACTTGCGCCATTGTAGTCTGCTAAATTTTCAAGCTCTATCCTTCGAGTAACAGAAACAGTAAACCGTAACGATAGACAAGACGGAGTCTTTAATTTTATTCAATCGTATATCTGTAGGACGTGTCTCAAGGTTAAAAGCGAAATATACTTACATGTATTGCTTTTCACAATGAAGAAAAAGATACATTTAGAGCACACGAGCCAAAGGAATGTTGGAGTTAATATGCTCAATGCCACTTGTATTCAAAATGTGAGAATAGCTGTTTCACGAGCCACAGTCAGATTTTACTGAATGGTACCCTGATGAAAACTACAAAGTGTGAGTTCAGTCAGGCTACTGAGAACGAATTCACAAAGTGATTCGTGACCAAGTGATTTCGCGGAATGATAATAAGACTATATTTTCATTTGCCTGAATATTTCAAGCGGTGAGTGGTAAAGGTCTTACATCAGCTTTCAGACAGATCCAGTTACGGACAGATTCCTTGGATAAGTGAAGTGGTGGAATGAGTGCAATTCACTTGGAGAATATCGTGTTGGCCAACGCGGAGATATGTCCAGTACGAACACCTAAGAGGAAACACTTCTGCAGTCACACATGTCATTTTTATGCACACCCAACTCTTAGTTGGGACTTGTAAGTCATTCACCAGAATCTTGCATGTGGCAGAATCAGACATCTGAGTTAAAAGCCAAAAAATATTCATATAAATATCATGCTGCGCCCCTACTTTTCACCTGTTATTCTTATATTTTGAAATGGATGAACCTTCTAAACCAATATAGGTACGAAGTGATTACATCGTAGCTGCCACGTATTAATACCACCTATGCATTAGGAATTTGTGCTACGTAACTCATGATCTTGATTCTGGTGAGTCTTCTCAATATGCAGAGCAAACTGTGAGCAGTTGAAGATAAACTAAATCGCTCAGCAAGTCACAAGATACAATCGAATAGTAGAAATACCTCCCCGAGGGGAGACGATGAGGATGGTAGCATTGGCGATCAACCGAGGACAATTGGACCCACAGGTACCCTAAAATCAGTAAAGAGGTGGAAAATTCCATCTGAAACTAGTATCTGCAGGGGTATCATTAGTCGGTGCAGTTCACCAAATGCCTACCACACATCGAGAAAGCTCCTCAACACTTAGGAGGGATGGTGATAATAGGTGAAGGCAATATTCGATGTTCTCGATTTTAGTGACATCCTGCTGGCTAATAAAGGCCTGTTTGACGAACGGAAACAGGGCACTTTCGCTGCACACACGGATTGAGTAAATACATAGAAAATTGTATAGATTATGCAAGGTAAAATCACCGAAAAATGGAGAACAGTCATCCATAAGGCTCACTGAGCTCAACAGAGAAATTCGACCAGTTTTACCATTATCACAACTATCGTTTATAAAATTTCATCAGACAAAAGAGGAAAACCACATGATATAGACCTCACAAAGGACAAAACGAGGTTATATCAACGGTCACGCTCGCATTCACTGACATACAACTTGTCAACGGCGATGTGGGAGGGAAGGAGATAACCTGCATTAGGGGAAATTGAGCGGAGCGGGAGAGGCTGGCATCTACTAACTACCTCTCTCACTACTTCCGCACGCACTCTATACATCAAGCTCTGTTACAATAATTTTCTGAAGCTCAAACACTTTACGAGACACCATCAGATCCTTCCAACTTGGGTAAATGAACGATTGAAATAGACTGGTCTTTGATGTCAAGAGGTGTTGGACGACGTTCATCCGTACTCCAGAAGTGCGAAGGTTTGCATATGACTTCCGTGGAGATGACCTTTCCAGCGGTGGGACAGTGTGGACCTGCAGCTTCTCCCGGAACATGGATTAGATACAAGTGCTTACTTTGACAGAGACGCAGTCAAAGGCACCAAGGCAAGGCATTCCGTGCACGAGAAATTAGAAGCATTTACGCTCAAGCTTATTTTCGCAATCATACGAAGTTTACGCCCGGCTGCATGAAGTCCATAACGCTTCCTAGTCATTACTCCTAAAATGAAGTAAGCATCTCGTAGAAGAGCAAAATACGGGAGCAACTACACCTGCTATCTGATTGAAAAGCCTGGTAGCCGGCTATGACAGATGGATCTATACGCCTACACCCACTGCAGAACAAGAAGAGGACTACGCACGACATGCAAAATAGTGCCCAGCCCAATGCACCTGATCGGAGACTTATCCCCAAAAAGACAAAACGGTACCCTTCGCTGTGAACCCTGCTAAGTGGCTCATCAAAAGGGACAATAGAGGTAGGGGGTTAAATCTGTTCCCTTTGAGTTTTCCACATAAGGAGCGATTTAGCAAGGAGCTGGAAGGAACTAGCAACACCACCATCTTGGTAAAATTCGTGCATTTCTCCCAAGATGAAAACATATGCTCCCTTTCGTTGCAGTTACCAAGTCTGCAGCCATGTGGTGGATGAGTTGTACTGGATTTCCTCAAAGATATAGAACTGTTCCGAAATAATAACGAATGAGCCCCGAATAGTCATAAGGTTTGTACAGACCCGTTTAAAAGATATTGGTTGCAGCATATAAAAGTGACATCATCCACCCCTGACGTGCGTTCAGCTTAAAAATATACAGGAAGTTGCAGACGTCAAGATTTACAAATTAAAGCGAGAAGACATAGAAACTGATTACAAGGATATGCAGAAAACGAAGTTTCCTACAAGGGCTGAAATAAACAAAATGACTATCTGGAGCAGACGAAAGATTGAAGTAGAATTCTTTTAACCCGAATTCATTATTTACAGTCAGAATCTTATGAGGGATATGGGTTGTCGACTGAGGCGCAATACGTATGTACTTTAACTTCCCCAGTAACTTTTTGAAGAAAACCGGACCACTGCTAGAAGGCTGACTCGAGGCGATAAAAAGGTTTTATCTAAATCCGGGATATATTTCAGGAAAAAGAACGTATGGTTGTTATATGTGCTAGCTGACCGTCTAATAGTGTCTGACGGTTGGCGATTTCATCACTAAAGCATCTGATTGAGAGGATCAGATGAATGTGTTATTGAATAATCTCTTTGATTGGATTGTTTACTCTAACAAAGAATATCATGAATTCATGAGTGCTCTTATAACATCTATAACAATCGCGGTGTCGTAGTCCGTTGCTGTGCCGTTTTAATGACAGTGTACGTAACCATAGAATTTCGTCACCTCACGCGAATATTAGACACTTCGGTAGTGTACTTGTTTGTTTGTGATGACTGGATCATATTACGGGCCATTGAGTTTTCGGGGAACAAGAACGCCGCTGCTGCAGTGTGGTGTGAAGGTGTTTTTCCCTAAACTGCCTTTTAATATCATAAGAATATATATCCTTGAACGGCCATAAGCGTTATATCCTTCCTTGACCGGCTGATGCTGCGTCAGTGACAACTCGGCCACCAGGTCAGGTGGTCCAGGATAAAAAGTCAGCAGGTGGTGTGGCCATCGAAGGTCTAGTAATATAAATTTGCACACAAAAATTGGAACCGTTATCTATGGTTGAAGCCAACAAAAAGAGAGCCTCAAGCCTCTAAAGAGGTGTAAATAACTGGTGCAACAGAAAAGAAGTAATGTTTTTATACGCTTTTTGAATAAAGTTATACATTAGGATTTCTCGTGAAGTACACAATTTAGGTGGTATGGTGTACCTGAAGTGAGTCGCAGTTGCTACACTTATATCAGAAAATGCCGTATAATGCTGATAAGTGCGCAACGTCATGGATATTACAACAGGCAGCAATTTTGAAAGTGAAACGCACATTTCTCTATCTTCATAATTTCATGCTATTATATTCAGCTCTTTAGTCGAAATGCTATTGTCTTCACTGGTGAGCTGTTGTGGCATTACATCCCATGTTTTCATTTTAAGATACAAGGCATTAGAGCTATGAAAATACTGCTATCTGGGCCAAACAAAACAAAATGGCACCAATGTGAATATACCGAACAGTACGATTTCTCCCTTGATAAAGATGTTGGCAACATTTCAAATCACGCCATGCCATAAAATTCTTCGGAATTCCGTGCAGTATGATAACCAGAAAGCTCCCATAGGCTCTGACTTAGAGCGTCCCTGTGATGGGGATGTAGGATCATCAAAGCTGATCAAGATATTCTCAGTCTTTGTTAAGCTGATGCTGTGGTCTCTTCAGATGAAATCTTTGTCTTTCTAATTCACGTAAAATCCACAGAAAAGCCATTATATCTTCCAAATTATATGAAGACTGGAACATAGACAAAGGCGCAAAAGTGGAAGATTAGTTAGCTATTTTCAACCAAAACTACACATTATAACTCCCTATAACGAATAAAAATATAGGGCCTCAGGGATGCACTGACAAACTTTTATAAATCTCTGCGACGTGGCTATAAACTGACCCATAATGGCTATCCACCAACCACTAATTGAACTTGAAGTGTATACGTCACAGTGGATGCATTGAGAAAACATTTTTGTTTATAGACAAGGGGTGAAATGGATTTCACTACCTACCCACTGACACAGTGGTGTCACAAATGCCTCGGTAAGATCAGGATAGCCCAAAAACAATAGTCAATCACGTCAAAGGAGTATTTTCACAGGATCTGTCACAGGTTGTTGCATTTGCTTTAGTCAAACCACCAGAAATCGAAGTTTCGGGCTAGTTGTGTTGAAAATTTTAGATCAAGATAAAGGAGAATCCGTGGGATACACTGAATTTTATGATGGAGAAGGTTTGTGGCTCAGATGGACGATGTTAGTGTAGATGTATTCTCTGGGCCAGGTGGATTTGTTGTGGGGCTTTTGTAGCCCTACCAGGCAGTACATGTAACAAGAATCTTAATGCTCCCCTGAGTCAATCGTTAAATTTAGTAACCACCTCTTGAACCTTATCGACAAAACAAGGAACGATTGACAATAAATCACAAAGTTTAATCAAATTCTGCAAAGAGGCACCCGATATTACAAGGAGATGTATACATACATATGCTTTCAGAAAAATAACTTAGGAGAGAAATGTATATAAGCTAAGACACTTATTGAAAAAAATATGACACACTTTCAAATCTCTCTGTATGCATTCAGAAGTTTGAGTCTGACGGTCGTGTTTGTTTATCTGAGTGACTTTTAATTTGATTTCAGGTCAACTTGTGACCTTAAGTATTGGCAAACTTTTAAATTTTCGCTTTGGGATGTTTGTTGTTTTATAGCAGGTACAACTAATATGTGATTTTTCACTTCATATATTATCCCTGTATTCAATGAAGTGACTTTCACCTTGCATTTAATGTATACCAGACTGATAACGAAACAATAAATCATGAATTTGCTTTAATACAAAGAAATACCCTATTCGGGAAATTTTCAGTCATGGGAAGAGTGGAAAAAAACATGGGAAATTTTTTTTTAGAAACTGGGAAAAAGTGGGGTGTTTCTGGAAATGACATCGGTGAAGTGTGTAATTTCTTTATCGAAGTCATTGGAAAAATTGGGTTGGAGCTTGGGAAATATGGGAAAAATTGGGCTGCAATAGACTTAGTGGGCGTGTGGAAATCAGTTATTTTGTATTGCATTTCACTCACTTTTTTTCTTATTCTCAACGATAGGAAATGCCGATGTCCCATATTTTGCTCAGTTTTCCCATGTTCATTCTGTGGCCGGGACGTATTTTTAGACCTTGATTTTAGCCTAGTATGTTGCTGTTTTCCACTGAATTCTTTCTGATTTATCATTCACAATCGTGCCTCTTTGAAATTTTAAATTTGTGAGTGATTTCGGGTTTTAGGTTTTTTTCGGGAAAGTTTTTGGTTGAAAAGGGGGCATTTCCCCGAATTTGTCCCAAAATTTTTCATTTTGGCTGGTTTTCCTCTTCATTCACTAGATTGCTGTACACCTTCCTGCATATTTTGTTTCCAGCAGTAAAAATTAAGGATATAGGGCTGAACACTTTCCGTTGTAGAAAAAGGCATTGTGATCTACTGACGAGTTT